TTTTTAAAATCCAATGTGTGGATCACATAATATTTCAAAAATTTTAACTTTTGAGTATAGATGATCCGCACTGTATATATGTATATTGCATTTTTAATAAAGCATTATTCTTTAGAAATAGAATGTTTGGAAATTTTAGTTTAAAATATTTTCATATTTTATTATTATTATATATTTATTAAATGATGATAATTATGAATGATGAATGATGAATGATGAATGATGAATGATGAATGATGAATGATGAATGATGAATGATGAATTATGAATGATGAATGATGAATGATGAATGATGAATGATAAACAAATTTTTTTTCTTTTTAGAAGAAACAAAACCAAAACCAAAACCAAAACCAAAAAAAAATATAAATGTAAATATAAAACAAGAAATTAATTAAATAAAAAATCAATTATATTTTATTTCTATACAAAAATAAAAAATATTAAAATTATATATATGTAAAATAAAAAATTAGATCAAAAAAATTTTTTTATTAATATTATTGTCATTTTAAATGTAATTACATTCTGGATAAATTTGATGGATGATGTGGTCCTTCCAACATAGATATAATAATCATAATTACGATTTTCATTATTATTATCTTTGATTATTATTATTTTCATAATTATAATTATTATAATCATCATAATCTCCTTCTTCCTCCTCAATAATAGATTCATCATTTATTATTAGAGGAGGAGGAGGATTGTTATTATTGTATTGGTGAGATGGTTTATTGGATATTGTTGAATATTGTTGAAGAGGTCTTGATGATGAAGGCGGTGGCGGTGGATGATATTGATGCTGATGTAGTGATGATGGTGGTGGCATTTGAGGTGGTGGTGTGCCATTATAATTTCTTCTTGGTGCATTATTATTGCTATAGTTACTATAATTGCTACGGTTACTATTTGAACTTACTGATGAATAATTGCTTGCATTTGTTGGATAACGTGATATACCACCGCCGGTTGGAATTCTATTTACATTTTGATAATTATTTGATGATGGTGGATAATGACGATTTGAATATTTTGTTGATGTTGATATAGATGATGCAGTGGTAATGGTCGTGTAGTTGCTTGCATTCGTTGGGTTACGTGATAAATTAGTAGCATTTGGATGAGGATAATTTGATGGTACTGGATTTCTCCCCGGTACTCCAGAATATGGTGTCATAGGAGGATATCTGTTTATACTGCCATTACTATTACTAGAAGAACTACTATAAGCACTACTTGCATTACTAAGATTTCTATTTAATGCACTTCCAGGCGGTAATAATTGATTGTGATCGGACATAGAGGATGTGTTAGATTCAATCTCCTCTTTGTTATTAAAATCGACTCTATCAAGTAAACTGGAAGTTTCTTCGTCCATTTTAATATCCATAAATTCACGAACTCCAAAAATCGTTACAAATATTCCAAAAAACACTAGAACACCACCTTGTACATATGAAGCAATTTTTGTAATATTTTCAAATTCCAAAACCCTATTTATACAAATTTGTCTAACATCTTCTTCACTATTAGGAGGAAATTCACCTTTACATTTGATGAATGTGTCTCTTTTACTGCTGCCGGCCATTGTTATCAATCCAACACTTAATCCAACAAATGCAATTGTGGCAATCCAATACTGGATCATAAATCCTTTTATCAATGCTTTCTTTCTCTAAAAAAAAAATAGGCGGATATGAGAAATGGAGACTAATAAGAATAATTGAAATTTATTATATATTAGATATAATAGATTAATATAAATATTCATACATTTAATCCACCAATAATTCCCGCTATTCCAAATGGTGCTAAAATAGCATAAACTGCAGCAAATCCAACAGTATATATCTTTTGTAAATGGTAAGTAGCAACTATAAATAAATGATTTGATTATGATTTATTAAACTGATCATGATATAATAATAATTAAATAGTAATAAATGTATTATTATGATTACCATTCTTTCCTAAAAATGTGAGAACGGCTATGGACACACAATAACACTATATAACAATAGGATAATGCTTTTATGTTAGCAATGGTGATGGAATTTTAATTTTTAATGGTTAACATTAATATAATACTCACCGAGAACAAAACACTTATGCTAACGAATATTATTCGTGAAAGCAACATTTTTTTTAAAAAAAAAAAAATACAAGAAATTCTTAATACATAAATGAAAAAAGAGGAAAGTTGGTGGTGGTTAGGAAAAAAAAAGAATTTATTGAAAAACGAAATTGCACTGCAATTCCACTTTTTTTTTTTGGTCTTTTTTCTTCACTCTTTCTCAATTATTATAAAGAAATTTAAAGGATCCTGGAATGGGATTATTGGTAAAACCGTTAATTAAATAAGTAAGGAGTATATCTTGTTTTGGAAATAAAATAATTGACCAAAAAAAAATTTTAAAATAAAAGAGTGTGAATTTTCTCAGCAAACACAATATCTTTTAGAGCTGATAAGAAGAAGATGATGTGATGAAGGAAGATATGGTAAGTAGAAGTAGTAGTGGTAGTAGTAGTAGTAGTAGTAGTAGGAAGAAGAGAATAATATTTAAAAAAGAATTTTCTATTCCACTCGATTAATTAATATAATTAATTTTATATGCGTGTAACCAACATTTTTATTATGAACATAGCGTCACCAAAACCAAAAAGACTGCAGGGGCCAAAATTTAGTAGTCAACGGCAGATCTGAAAGTCACACAAGGATCCAAATTATGAACGAACTTGTTATGTAATTCTGTCAACATTTTCATAATGGCTCTCAATATAAAGCTCATAAAGAAGAAGAGGCTGAAAGAGCATCTGTTAAAAACAAGTTAAAAAGAAACTATTATAATAATTAGCTGAAGAACAAAGAAAATTGATTATCATCTTTTGATAAACAAGTAAATAAGTTTGGTAGGAGGGGGTATACTTAATATGGAATTAAGTATCTGAAGGTTGCTTGTGGTAATGCAGATGAACAAAATAAAATAATAGTTATTCGATTGTTTAAATTAAATTTCATGATTCCAGGGTATGTTAAATTCAAATGTGATGGTAGTCTTGGGTTAATTAAAAATTATATGTATAGACTGTAGATCATGTTGTAGACATTGTAAAAGGATCCCACTCATATGGATCACAAGTATTTTTACAATAGCATTTGCCCTTGTTACAGATCGATTTAAATATAGCATATAATGCTGACAACTTACTTAAAGATCCCAATTTATTATTTGTAATAATAATATCTTTTTATTGGTTATGATCTTTCATTCTTCCTGGTAAACTTAATAGGTAGTTCTTTCTTTGGCTAGGTGTGTGCTTCGATAGTGTCAGTTATTTTGAAAACGCAAGGACCAAATGAAATACTATTTAAGAACTTCAGAACAAGGTTAAAGATTAATTAAACAGGAAAAAATTATTCAAGAATTAACCAAACAAAAGCCAAAGTGAAACAAACCTGAACAACTAAGATAAGGCCAAAACGAAAGAAGAATAAGCTTGGCATGATTTATATATACTTTTGAATTGATTGGTTTATATGAATAATTTTAAAAGGAACTTGGGCAAGCCATTAACGTTAATACAATGTGGCTACAATGTAAATCTTCAATTGATGCTGACCAATGAATTTATTTGTGACGTTTTAATTGAGTACAATTGTGGCTTTGCTAAATTTTGATCCCTGGAAATTCTTTGTGACATACATGTTCATTATAATTTAAATGTATTCACCTAATATAGCAATATAATAAAACAAATTTTTAATTAATTTCTCCTTAACGTGTTAGCACAATAATAACGTACAAAAGATTTTCTCCGTTTGTCAAAGAATTCATCTAACACACAATAATACTCTGAACGCATAAGCTTTCCTTTTTAATTAATTACAGTCGATGATGTTTTGATAAAAACAAATACATACGATAAACCGATGGTTTTTTTTATTAAAATTTATTTATAAGCTGATTTTATTTATTAAATCGAAGTTTTTTATGTAACATTGACTTCGGTTTGACGAGTTCGACTGTATTGAATTACTTGAAAAAGAAAAATAATAAAGTCATGCATGCAATATTAAATTGGGAAAACAAAATTTTATTTTTATTAAAAATTACTAAACAGATGAAAAATTTTACAAATTGAAAGAAAATTGAAAAGATGATAATAAATAATAAATCCAAGTAAATCCAAATCATTTAGACGACGGCGACGACGACGATTGTTCTTGTTGTTGTGGTCGATGTAAAATAGAAAGATGCCGTAAGCTTTTGTCACTGTATAATGAATGACATGATTGACCGACTGCGTAACAAAGCGCAAATGATGTAACCGTAACAAGTGGGTAAACTTCCACCGGAAATCTTCGAGTCATTAAACGTATTTCTTGTGTTAATGTACGTCCAATTATCATTTTTATTATTATTCGAGAAAAGAGTTAAACCTCAATGATGTATGAGAAAAATCAACCAATGTTCGTTTGGTTTAAAATTAAGCGTTTTATTTTTATTTTTAATTTTTTTGGAGTATGGATACGAATTATTATTATTATTTATTTATTGGTCTTGATTGAAACAATTAGAAGTACTGGTCTAATTACTTGGTTATTTATAATAAAAATTTTATTTCTTGAGCAAATTTAAAAAAAAAAAAATCATATCATCCCATCATCCCACTTTCAAAATTTCAGGTTATGTCGATCAATTCATACTATCATGCGTGGAATATTTTTTTGAGTAACAATAAATAATTGATGTCAGGAGATTTGTTGTTAATGTATTAACAACATGTTGCCGTTTTATAGGCGGTGATTGTTTAACGATAAGAATTTAAAGACGTCCCTTCATATTGGATATTTCATCATAAATTTACAAAAAATTATGTAATGTTGAAGAGGATATATTCTTTGTCAATTCTTTTCAATTTTACGAATAATTGATTCAAGTATAAATATTTCTACTGAACCTTTCAAATTGTCACAAGTAACCTGACAGATTTGTGATACATGTAAAGTCTTGACATCTACATGTGCATCAATGAATGTCTAAATGACAGAGTAACCAAATTTTTGCTTACAATTGATCAAAATTTTTCTTTGCCAACAATACACAAATACAAAAAATCTCAACCTTATTTACAAGTTTTTGATTTTTCAAGAATTCGAATTTCTATGCAGTTCACGAATTACAGTTATAGAGGATCTCTCGTTATAGTGTGAATGGAACTTTTTCATACCGCAGTTCACCTATAATAAATTTTGTTGTAATAAAATATCTCTGTTATTATTATTGTGTACCATTGATAATCTTCTACATAGAACATATAGTAATAGTGTTAATTTGCCCTTTTTCTAAATTTATCAATTACAACTGTCAAATATTTACACGAAATAAAGAATCTTTACCCAACATCCCATTTTTAAAATAGTAATAATTCAAACAACATGATTTAAAATAAATAAATATCATGATTTAAAATAAATAAATATCATGATTTAAAAAAATAAATAGCATGATTAAAATAAATCTCTTTTTTTTTGTATTTGAAATATTTTGAAATTTTATATTCATGACGACTTTATTCATTATGAAAAAAACTTAAGTCGTAATTTTATAAAATTTAAACATAGATAAAATAATCAAAAAGAAACATGAAAATAGAAGAATATTTATTCATCCATCTGAAACTACAAAGTTTAAACGTGCGTTTAAAAGATTAAAAAAAAACACTCGTTACAGTGAACAAAAACTTAGGAGCTTTGAGTGTAATTAATTTTATTTATTATTATTTTGTTGTTGTTGTTGTTGTTGTTGTTGTTGTTGTTGTTGTTGTTGTTGTTGTTGTTGTTGTTGTTGTTGTTGTTGTTATCAATGTTGCTATTGTTGATAGTGCTAGGTAATTATTCGAATTATTCATATCTACAACATTAAACAAACAAAAAAAAATAAAATATACTAAAGATCCAGGTGAATACATGGATATCATAATAAAATACCAGTGGTTATAGAAGATCAAACAAAATTATTTTTATTTGATTCCTTTGAATTATTCAAATAGGATCCCTAGCAGTCAAAATCGAGCTTTCCGAAAGGCATTTTCGCCTGAGTAGAGACGATATTCGAATGATTCGAATGCTCAAATTAATTACGAATCGTTCGTTTAATTCAGGTAAATTTTATTCGGACAGTGACCATACCTGTAAGAAGAAGCGTAACAATTACTGTCATGAGCAATGAGGGGGGGGGGGGGTATACGAGAGATTGATTTGTAGCAAGTCTGCTGTGAAGATAAACTTTTATTTATAAAATATTTCTTTGCATTGTGTTCAAGTATCGTAGATGTAAACTTGAGATAACAAGGCCATATCAAGTTTTTAGATTTGAAGTAATGTTTATTTATCATAGAATTAAATATTTATTAAAATTATATAATAGATATGATGTGATTTATTTTATATTGCTATGATAACATTAAGAGTAGATTCTTGTATCAACCCGAACCCAACTTTAATTCTAGTCAAGACCGAACCCCCCTTTCCTCCAAATCCTTCTGCTTTTATGTTCCTATTTAGCATTAGGTTGCCATTTTTATTCCTAGATTCCGTGACCACAGTATAATATATAAATTATTTTATTTCCAAGTATATTCGATATAATTTTATATTTCGTATAACTTTGATGCCTAAAGTCAAGACTGCAGCTTTTAATGATAACAAAGGTATAAAAACAAGCTGACTGAATTCATCCGTATTTCCTCCTTTTACTTCATCATTGTAAAATTAAAAAAATAATTATTAATTATTAAATCCAACCTTTAACAAATGAATTTCTTTTACTTTTGCTTTTCTCCTTACAAAGGGATTCATTCCACAATTCTATATAAGAAATATTTAATATAAAAGATAATTGCACCAGCAAGACCAGATTCTCACTTAGTGTTCTTTACAGTAAAGGAGAAGATTTTTATTAAAGGATCATGGGCCTTAGTCACGCAAAAATAATATAAAAATATGCAAGTTTTCACATAACAAAAGACATCAAAAATTTTTATAAAGGTTTAAAGTTATGCGATTTACTATTAAAAATTTTCTTCCTTGATAATATTAAAAGGAAATTTTGCATGACTTTATAAAAATTTTTTTAATAATAAAATAAAAAAACCTCTCTGTATGTCTATAACTTAAATAAATTTATACAGTTTTTTGTTTTAGAATATTTGTTTGTTTGTTATGGAGCTCCATATCAGCCGATTTGGTTTTTTGGATCCTTTTTTCAAACCTTATATCTTATTGTGTCTCGACATTAAACACGTTAAACATGATGTGTAAACTGGTCAATAGAATGATAATTAACCCCCAAAAAAATTATTTGCTCTGCTAAAAAACTATTTTACTATTCGATAGCCTGTCAAACCGATGGCCCTACCTCAAAACCAATGGTTTTTGCTAGTATAAAGTATTCATAGCGTTATGATCAGACCGTACTGGGGTCTAGGGGTGCAGCACGATACGC